TTTATATTCCATAGAACAACCAGTGTATTCCCTTTAAAGCATAAGTCCCCCCATTTTACAAAGCCTCTAATGACTTCCTATCATACTTATAAATCTGAAGTCCAGGTATGACCTGCAAGGCATTCCATCACCTCACCATGGCTCATCTCTGCTCCCTAACCTACATTCTTCCCTGACTCACTCTGCTTCAGCCACATTCATCGGCCTGACAAGAATGCTCTCCCCTCAGGCCTTTGCCCTCACTGTTCCATTTGTCGTTAGGGTTCCCCTCAGTAAAGCCATACCTGATCTCACCTCATTTTCTGATGGTCAGTGTCTAGCCCATTAACTGTTGCTATCTGAACATCATATTATTTATGTCTTTAACATTTGTCACCTCTGTTAGATTGTAACCTTCACTAAGAGACTGGCTTTCTTTGCTTCACTGCTATATCTACAGCATCTAGATCAGGTACTGAACCCTTATGCCCGCAATAACATTTTTTGAATGAGTTCCTGAAGAAATGAACACTCTAACTTTCCAATAATATGTATACAAATGTTAGGTTTTTTAGAAACTATATCTTATTTGTTATATACATACAATGACTCAATAACCTTTTTAGACTCAATTTAAAAGATAATAAGTAGGCTCATATGTTTTTACTATTCATGACATTGGAAATATTTGCAGATAGTAGGTGTTCCATGAATATTTATTGAGCTCCAAATGCAAATTATTTTGATACTGAAAATAATATAGGTTAACATATAGTCAATTTAGTTTCATTTTGTATATAGAGAAATTAATTGGCTGTTATAACTACAGAACTTTTGTGATGTATTTTATTGAAGAATGACAAAAATGTATAATTTACATAATCAACACATAATCCAAGATTTTTGCTTTTTTTAATAGATGTTTTAACCCAATATCTAGATTAGATAGATTTGTTTTAATTAGACCATGCTCCTAATGGCTCAGATAATCACATTCAGAAATACTATACAGTTTAGGTATAGGAAGCCTAAGTTCCCGGAATAGATAAGGATATTTCATTTTCTTGCAAATGTATTTGTTCAATGGGCAAAGATAGTTGGGCATGAGAATTTTTAAGGGTTTTGATAAATGTTTAAAAGTTGAAGTCTAGCGTTAATTTCATTATTACTTCTTATTCAGTTTATTTTTGCTCTTCTTTCTGTGTGGAGATAATGGGTAAAAGAGTTTTATGGAGTGTAGGGAAGAAACAGAAGCATGATTGCCTTATACCCATTTACTTCACTATCTTTATTCTTTAAAAACATATTTGTCTTTTTACCCCATAATTTTCTCCAACTGGAAATGTAATGCATGTAGTTTGAGGGGAGCCAGTTGTGAAAAGGCACTGCAGAGTAGAAAACAACCTGATTTTATGGGTAGAGAACTGGCTTAGGCTTCAGAAGCTCTAAGTTCTAGCTTGGGTATCTGACACTTGCTCGTACAGTTCAGGAAAGTCAGTCAGGCATCCTAGAGTGGAACGGAACCTTAGAAACCTCTCAAATCAGACCTTTTCTTTTATTGGTGAGGAGTTGACTTCCAAAGACATTGTGTGTAGAGCAAAGAATAAAATGGAGGTTTCCTGATTCCTAGGCCGGTTCCTGTTATATCCACATTTTAATCTATAATCATATATATTATATACAACAAGTGATCGTATATATTTGTGTATATGTGCATACGTTTTTAAAGAAATATTTATGTCTATGTCTATATAGCTCTCTATAACATTGTATTGAAATCTTGGCTTTTTCAATAATTGCAAACTCCTGAGAGCTTATACTTAGAAATTTTCCCCATCAAAACATCATTCTGGGCTGACACCTGGTAGATACTCCACAAAATACGTTCAATAGAATTCGCCTAAAGGAGGAATTATACAACTGCCATTGATCCAGACCGGGCTTTGGCTCTCTCCCTGCTCAGGAGAAGCACCAGCTCCAGTGAGTCCGCTCCGGCTCCTCCCCAGGTTTTAGAGGCGTCACAGAGCTAGACAAGGTAAGGCCCTGGAGGCTGCTACTAGAAGTTCCCTTTCTGGGTGAGCACCTCTGAGAGGCTGGCGGGTCACTCTAGGTGAGGACCCTGGGAGAGGAGAAAAGACCCACACAGCTTGGGGGCTTCGGGAGATGGTGTGGATGCAGCGAGGGACTTGGGACTATGACCCTCTTACCCTGGAAGTGAGAGAAGGGTTGGAGGCCCAGGTGGAGAAGCCGGTTGCCAGGCAACCTGCAGACGCTGGTCTGAGTTGGCTGGAGCCTTTGCTGGGAACTGCCCCTTTTCCTTGTGTGTCTGAAAGTGTCTCAAGAGGGTTCTTGGTGAGATCGCCCCAGCTTATACCTTCCCCAGCCCTCCCACTTTGGACCTGCTTTTTACCCAGCTTGCTGGATCAAGTCAGGTTGGCTGTCCTTGGGTCCCAACCCACCCAGTTCATGAATCCCAGATAGAAGGAGCATGGAGCATTTGTTCTGGTACATTGCAGGTACCATTGCCTTGGTGTATTATCTCAACTTTTGGGGGAGGGGTGTAGGGGAGTTACTCTGCTTGTTTGAAATTAGCAATGGCCTCAGCTTCCATTAAGGCACCTGCGTCTGGGTCCCTGCCTGCATGGAGCTGAAAATACTATTTCCAGATCTCATTCCTCTCTCTTTGATTATGTGCTGGATTTATTCTTTGCTTTCTGTGATGTTCTGATTTGGTATAAGCAACAGTATAGCCACTAATATCACTAACCAAGAGAGACATGATGATGATTAGAATTGGAAATAAAATTTTCTCCTTTAAAAAATGAGAAAAGTGGGAGGTGATTTGATTCATGGTGGTAGCACTAAGGATAATATGGTAAGACTCATGGCATGCTAGCGGTAACTTCTCGAGTTCCCTCAGTTTCAGAGAAGACAAGCCACTGAGGTGAACCTGGAAATTTGAGGGTATAAATATTGTTGTTTTTAATATTGGCAAATGGATTATAGTTATTTAAAGTGACCTATAGTTATTTGAAGTGGCTATAGTAGCGACTAAGATATAAATAGTTGTGAGGCTGATGAGTGGAGAAAAGTCACCTGGCTGATTGTTCAACACCCTTGTCTCAACTTGTGTTTGTTGGCCACTAATCAGCATGGCAAATACCAACAGCTTCTTGTGATGTGATGACAAGCAAACAACAACCTCCCTCCCCCCACCAAACTAATAACAACTTTAAAAAGCTCTTCTTTGAGAAATTGATCTGTGAAAAGTAAGCTGGCTACTAGCACTGTAGAAGTATTTTTAAATCAAATGATTTATGTTTTCAGAATATGTTTACTATTGTTAAGTCTTCCTGACTTCACTCTACCAGTAGAATCCATGCTTAGGACATGGGGTTTTTAGAGAAGGGGGCTATGGCAATGGTGTGAAGGGGATCGTATAGACACTTTATTAAAGAATTGGTATATCTTTCAGGTAAGAGGATTTCACTGGACATGAAATGAAACTATTTTAATAATGATGGTGGCTACCATGTATTGAATGTTAATGGTGTTTCACATGATACAAGAGAATCAGAAAGGTGCTAACATTAAGCTCATTTTACATGTTAGAAATGTTGGTCAGAAAAATTAAGTTCTTACCCAAGCTTACGTTATGGGAAAGTATAAAAAATGAGGATTTGAATGTCACCCAATTAGACTTCAAGAACTATGGGAAGGGTGGGAGTAAGGGGGAGAGATCAACCAAAGGACTTGTATGTATGCATATAAGCCTAACCAGTGGACACAGACAACAGGGGGTGAGGGCATGTGTGGGGGGTTGGGGGTAATGGGGGGGATAAGGACGCATATATAATACCTTAATTAATAAAGAAATATTAAAAAAGAACTATGCCTACTATCTTTCTTTAAAAACAAAACTAAGATATTTTTCTATTAAAATAAATCCAAGTCTAATAGAAAAAGAAGGTATGAATGAATAAGTAAACAAAAATGTACACTTGGTAATATAAGGGTGAAGTATAAAGTAAAATATTCAGAATCTGGATGACTGAGATATTCATATGTTTTTTATTTTGTACATATTAGCAAGCTGATTATTTTCACATTCTTTTGCAAGCATTTTTGCCTATCACCTCAGAATTACCGGTTGGGTCATTCACTCCATTTTATTCTTTGTATTAGATAAATAATAATGCTTGCTACAAAACATTTTCAGCAGTCTCCTCTGGCAAAATTAACACTCAAAAAAAAGTTTGGGAAAAGAGTAAAGAAAATAAAACATCACTTTGTGGTAGAGAATAGGTACCTGCATTAGTTTCCTATTGCTGCTCTAAAAAGTTACCACAAACGTGGTGATTTCAGACAATATAAACTGGATATTTTGCAGTTCTGGCGGTCAGAGGCACAAAGTGAACTCTGCAGAACTGAAGTCAAGGTGTCAGCAGGGCTGTGTTCTTCTGGAGGCTCTAGGGGGGTTCCAGGTCTTGTCTCTTCTGCCTCCTAGAGCTGCCTGTGACCTCTTCCTCCATTTTCAAAGCCAGATGCAAGCAGCTTGCTCCTCTATGACCTGTGCTTCCATCCTTACATCTTCTCTTTCTCACTATGTCTCCCTTTTATAAGGACCCTGTGATTATATTGGACCCATCAGTTAAACCAGGATAATCTCCACATCTCAAAGTCCTTAATCACATCTGAAAAGTCCTTTTTGTCAGGTAAGGTAACATATTCACAGGGTCTGATGATTAGGATTTGGACATCTTTGGGGGGGGGAGAGGGGCGGCGAGGGGGGGGCTATTATTCAGACTAGTATTGACCCCATAAATGTTGCCTCACATAATGGAGTTGCTCCACAAATAGTTAATTTTGGTGAAAGAAGGAAAAGTGATTGACCACATGATTTTTTTCCATATAATATTATTATGTAATTTGTAAGATTTATTTAAAATTTGAGCAAGAATTATACTTTTATATATTTTATGTTTTCCAAAGTGTATTACACAATCAGTACATGAACTTGAATGGATTTGGAGATTAAAGGAGTTGCCGCTTCTCCTAGGAGTCAAACTCAGTCATTCTCTGGAAGAAGGAAGCCACTACAAGTACGTGTGCTATATAATTTCCCTCTTGTAGAATGAGTCGTTAAATAATTTTCTGACTCCTTTCTTGAGAAATTATGACTGCTTATACTCACAAATATTTAGGATCAATATTTCCCTGATTAGAGGAATTGAACCACTAAACTTGAAGATAATCATTACTTGAAAATTGGTCACTGTGAATTTAGTTTTATTTTAAAATATTAAGCTTAATTACTATTTTCTTTTTGTTATTTTAAAAATTATCTGTGTATGTGTAACTAAAATATAAAAATAAGAATAAGAGTAAGAAGAATAAGATATCTATGTATACATTTTGTGTTAGCTGGGAAGAAGAGAATCTGGGATTCTGTTATTAGGAGTTCTATTCTATTCAACTTTCATAATATCACTGTTGTGCATATCCTTAAGTAAGTACAAGTTTAAAGCTACATTGTTCCTGTACCCACTACCTAATTAGGTATACATAAAGTTCAGTTTAAAAACACATAAAAGTTATGTGTATTTTCTTGCTGTTCTTATTCCAAATATTGAATGCCTACAGCTTGTCAGTGACCTTGATTAATGTTTTGATAGCTTGCATCACTTGATTCTTACAATAAACCATTGAGGTACGTTGTATTTTTTAAAAATATATTTTATTGATTTTTTTACAGAGAGGAAGGGAGAGAGATAGAGAGTTAGAAACATCGATGAGAGAAAAACATCGATCAGCTGCCTCCTGCACATCTCCCACTGGGGATGTGCCCGCAACCAAGATACATGACCTTGACCGGAATCGAACCTGGGACCTTTCAGTCCGCAGGCCGACACGCTATCCACTGAGCCAAACCGGTTTCGGCGGTACATTGTATTTTTATCTGCTTTTAAATATGGAAGAACTCATGGATGGACCTGGAGAACATTATGCTAGATGAAATAAGTCAGTCAGAGGAAAACAAGTACCATATAATTTCACTCATATGTGGAATCTAATGAACAAAGTGAACTGACAAACATACAGAGAATAGGCCGAGGGCAGGGGGATGTCCGCCTGCGGGTAATGGGCCTAACTGGCAGGCAGACATCCCCCGATGGATCCCGGACTGTGAGAGGGCGCAGGCCAGGCTGAGGTACCCCCCTCCCCAGTGCACAAATGTCGTGCACCGGGCCTCTAGTAAAAAAATAAAAATGAAAGAAGTGAGGCTCACAGAAACAAGTGACTTGTCAGGATTTTGAAGTCCAGTTCTGACTTTAAGATCTGAGTTCTCTACTGTCTTCAGCCATCTCCCTTAAAACAAGTTGGTGCTTTGGGATTCCAATGGTTCACAATATTGTGTTAAATCTCAAGTATTTGATAATTTTAATCAAATCAGCCCTTCTTATTAGTCAAAATATCAAGTACAGTTTTATAGTCTTCCATATTATGATTAACATATCATATTACAAACTTTTTTTCCAAATTTCTAGGAAAACCTCCTGGTTTAAGTTCTTTAAAAAAAAAAAGATTTCTAAAATCACATTCTTTCTCCTCAAGTAATAGCTTCCTTTAATCTTAATGTCTTATCTCTCTATTAGAAAGGTCCAGCTCTGGTGTTGGATGTAGGGGACAAGTTCATGTTTATCTTAGAACTCTAGATCCTTGAGAAAAGAAAAAATAACCTCAGGTATCCAGGTTATTGTTTCTTAGAGTTTATCAGCAAAGTATTACCATTTTATTTATCAGCTACCATTTCTGGAGTGCTCTAAAAGTAGAATTAAAAGTGAGAAATAATAATTGCTTGGCTCAGCGGTTGAGCATCAACCTATGGAAGTCACGGTTTGATTCCCAGTCAGGGCATATGCCCAGGTTCCAGGCTCAATCCCTTGTGTGAGGCATGCAGGAGGCAGCCAATCAATGATTCTCTCTCATTGAGGGGCGATCAGGCAGGCTAGTGAGCAGTTAGGGGTGATCATATAGGCAGGCGGAGTGGTTAGGGGTGATCAGGCAGGCAGGTGAGCAGTTAGGGATGATCAGGCAGGCATAAGGCTTAGGGGCAATCAGGCAAACAGAGCAGTTAGGGGTGATCAGGTAGGCAGAGGGGTTAGGGGTGATCAGGTAGGCAGAGTGGTTAGAGGTGATCAGGCAGGCAGGCAGGCAAGCGGTTAGGAGCCAGTGGTCCTGGATTGCAAGAGGGTACAGGCCAGGCTGAGGGACACTGTCCCCACCCCCCACCCCCTATGCAGAATTTCGTGCACCGGGCCTCTAGTTTGTAAATAAATGAGCAGGCCTGTGTTCCCATAAAACTTTATTTACAAAAACAGAGCTAGGCCATAGTTTGCTGACTCTTGGCCCTGGGGTTTTATGAGCTATAATTTATTGTTATTCTGGATTGTCTGGTACCAAATTGGCTAGCACAAAAGAAAGATAACTGCTATTTAAAAAACATTTATGCCTATGACTTCAGAAGACTGTAAGTCCATTAAAGCACTTTCTGAGAATAATAGTTATGATGATCATGACTATGGCAACCACAGCTACTAGTATATTCTATTTAGATGTTCACACTACCGTTACATGATGTCACAGTAAAGAAATACGATAAAGAAAATCTTTGATGTGTGATGAAAATGTGCTGCTATTTTAGCCTGATATATATATTTTAAATTGTATTACTATATTAAGGTTAGTTAAATGCAATTAATTAATATCTAATCTAATAAAAGAGAAACATACAAATTGACTGCACCTCCACTGCTCCCCAAGCCATGCCCACCAGCCAATGAAAGTGACTATATGCAAATTAACCCAACCAAGATGGTGGCTGGCAGCCATGGACCTGGAGCAAGCAGAAGGCTTGGTTGCCCTGGCAATGGAGGAAGCCAAGTTTCCTGCCTGCCCTGGCCTGGCTGTGGCCTCCGCTCAAGGCAACAAAGTTTCAATTATAGAAGAAAAATAAATCCCAGACACCTGCTTCCAGCCAGCCTCCACTGGGAGCTTGGGTAGCTGGGGGCCATGGCCAGCCTGCAAACAGACATCAGCCCCTCACCCAGACTGGCCAGGCACCCCAGCAGGACCCCCCTCCCTGAAGGGGGTGTGACCAGCCTGAAAATGGCCCTCAGCCCCTTACCCAGGCTGGCCAGGCACCCCAGCGGGACCCCCACCCTCATCCGGGACACCCTTCAGAGAGCAAGCCAGCCAGCCCTCACCCATTCACCGGGCCTCTATCCCATATAATAAAAGGGTAATATGCAAATTGACCCTAACAGCAGAACGACTGGGAATGACTGGTCACTATGACACACACTTCCCACCAGGGGCAGACGCTCAATGCAGGAGCTGACCCTAGTGGTCAGTGCGCCCCCACCGGGGAGCTCTGCTCAGCCACAAGCCAGGCTGATGGCTGCCAGCACAGCGGTGGTGGTGGGAGCCTCTCCCACCTCCTAAGCAGCACTAAGGATGTCCGACTGCAGCTTAGGCCTGGTCCCCACTGGCAAGTGGACATCCCCTGAGAGCTCCCGGGCTGCCAGAGGGATATCTGACTGCCAGTTTAGGCCCAATCCTCCAGGTAGTGGGCCTAAGCCAGCAGGTGGACATCCCCGAGGGGTCCCAGACTGCGTGAGGGCACAGGCTGGGCTGAGGGACCCCCCCCCTCCCCGAGTGCACAAATTTTTGTGCACCAGGACTCTAGTATTATATATTTATTTTTGTATCATTATATTAAATATATACTTCTATTTAAATAATATTGTGATTTTATGTTTCTACATTTTGACTATTTGTTAAGATATTATTGAAAGAATATCATTTTGAAGCTGATACAGAGCCAGATTTGTTTTCTCTTACTCTTATGGTATATAATCTTATATATAATCTCTAACTTGCTATCAGAATCAAAAAATGACCAGTTATGTAACATTTCAGAATAAGATATAAGCAACAATGGGTGAATTATTTCCTGTTTTTATTAACTTTAACTTTCCCTAAGACTCATACATATTTCTTATCACTGTGGCTAAGCTCACTGTACTTTTCTGGTCTTTGTACACTTTTTTTTGGCAATATGATTGAACATTTACAAACATATACATGTATATATTTGTCACTTCTTTGCTTACTATTTTCCCCATAATCTTTCAGACAAGGTCCAAGTTCCTTAACTTGTATTATAATATAACAACTCTGGCCATTGCCTTCTCACTCTATGGATTTCAACCCTTTCCACTGCTAACTTTTGCCTGTGGGTGGGTTCAGCACAAGTTGCTCCTCTTGGCTGGAGCAGTTTTTTCCCTTCTCTCTCTATCTGGCCAACTCTCCTACACATCCTTCAGAGATTCATTTAAACGTTACTTTTTTGTTTTTGTAAAAGCTTTGTCAAGTCCCTAGACTAGGTTGGATACACATGCTCTGTGTAGCTTCTCTGTCATAGCACTTATTTTTCACATTATTGTTTTTATGAGTGAACTAGAGACCCAATGCATGAAATTTGTGCAAGAGTAGGCCTTCCTTCTCCTGGCTGCCAGCACTGGCACCCAGGACCCGGGCTTCCTTCCCTCCAGCTGCTGGTAGGCACCCGGCACCTGGGATGTGGGCTTCCCTGCAGCCTCCGGCAGACACCTGGGACCCAGGCTTCCCTCACAACCCCAGCTTTGTCTGGAAGGATGGAAGGATGGGAAGGACATCCGGAAGGACGTCTGGTCTAATTAGCATATTATGCTTTTGCTATTATAGTTGTTCTCTGCAGCAGGTGGAGTACCACGTAGGTAGGAATTATCTATATTGCTTATCAATCTATCTCTGTTCTCAAACACAGTTGAGAAGGGCTTAATCAATATTTTTTATATAAAGTTAAGTGAGAAAAGTTGTAATTAGCCTTATTGCATTAATCCATTGCTTATCTTTTAAAGTATAAATAAAGAGTATATGCACATTGATTCTATTTTTTTTTTTATTAAAGCAAGGATGGACTTCCAAATCATGGGCCATACAGAATCCTTGCCCTCCTGTGTAAGTCACATTTTTTTTCACATTTGAACTGTTTAATGAGCAAATATTTATAATATACTGACAAAAAATAAGGCAAAATTATATATACATGGATATGATTGTAAACCACAGAAAAATTTATATGCAGGTAGGTGGCCTAAAATTACTATGTCAAAATTAACTAAAATAGCTCTTCTATAGGATGATAGGATTAAGGGTAATACTTTTCCTGTTTTTGCTTTATTTAATATTATTCTTCTGTATTCCTGGAAAAGTTTAAATATTGTTTTATTTAGAAAATTTAGCTAAGTTCATTTATTAAAGAAATATATAAAATTTTGCATTTTATAACTAGGATAGTCAAAATGAATTTGATAGGAACTCTATCTGTACTTGTATCTTGAGGAATATGATTTTATTTTGAACTAGAATACATTGACTTGTTTTATACTTTATATTTTATCCTTTTAAAATTTGGAAGTATATCCATCCTTTCAAGTATTTTAGACTACAGGGAATTCTGGAAAATAGAAATTAAACTTAATAATTATGAGGCTGAGTCACATGAAATTGGCAAGTATCAGAAATTTCTTGTGGTTCTACATAATAGTACCTGTATACTCATCTAGACAGGGAATGGAGCTGGGTGCAAACATAGATACAAGATGTTGAGTATGTAACAACAGTCAATTGTGTGTTGGTAAATGTTTTTAACAACTGGTTTTCTGAAACTACTATAAGATTAATATCAATTTTAATTGTTAATTATAAAGAATCTTAAGTATATTTTAAATTGATTATACATTTTACTGACATAAAGGATTTGTAGCAAGGAATTGACAAATACTAATAAAACTTATAAGCCCTTTATTGTAAATTGATTGTAATCAATTGATATAGCCAATTGATTATCACAGAAATATATCTTTTCGTTTTGTTTTGTTTTTAAATTCTCAGTTGAGGATTTTTTTTCTATTGAATTTTAGAGTGGAGGGAAGGAAGGAGATGGGGAAGAGAGAAAAACATACCCGGGAGAGAGACACATCCATTGGTTGCCTCCTGAACCTACCCTGAGGATGGAGCCTGCAATGGAGGCACACACCCTTGACTGGGAATTGAACCTGCATCCCTTTGATCTTTGGGACAATTCTCCAACCACTGAGCCACTCCAACAAGGGCAAGATATCTTTGTTTTTTGCTGAATTCTTATATCTGTAGCCACCCTATGGTTGGAATTGATGAACTGTATAGTTCCAACATGAGTGTTGGTTGATATTTTTATTTATTGTAGGGTGACGTGAGTGATTTCTCTATTGAATCAGGTGATAGTTTTGAATACTGAAACAATATTTCTGTTTGTTGTTATTCACAATGTAACAGTGAAGATGTGATACACTTTTAAGTTTTTTCTGCATTATTTATTTTCTCCACCACTTTTAAAGTCTCAGAAATCAAAAGTAATAAATCAAGTCCTGATTCATATTATTTTGCCAATTTCTGTGTAAATAATACCACTGTGCTTGATTTCAAGCTACCTATAGAGCAGTGATGGCGAACCTATGACACGCGTGTCAGAGGTGACACGCGAACTCATTTTTTGGGTTGATTTTTCTTTGTTAAATGGCATTTAAATATATAAAATAAATATCAAAAATATAAATCTTTGTTTTACTGTGGTTGCAAATATCAAAAAATTTCTATATGTGATACAGCACCAGAGTTAAGTTAGGGTTTTTCAAAATGCTGACACGCTGAGCTCAAAAGGTCCGCCATCACTGCTATAGAGTAATATCATTGAACACAGAATTGGAAAGAAATGTCTACCATTATATTACTACACAGACATAAATAACCTCTGGCATACAAATAATAGTGAAGGATAGTAAAATCATTAGGAAGTAAACCATTGGCATCAGTGTACCATTTTATGTAAGATGCAGCATATATGATTTGCAACTATTAAGTCTCTTTTTTAAAAGTTATGGGCTACATAGATTTTTTTTTCTTTCAGGGTCCCACGCCTTGATTTGGGAAGCCTTGTTGACTCTGATGATGAGGTAATTTTTACTTAGTACTTAATATATCAAACATTTGAACACAATATTATATGTAGCAGATAATAAGTATCACTTAATTTTATTTTTAGGATGATTTTTCATATATTCCATTTAGAACAGCGCGTATTCATTTTGACCCACCAAATCCATCTTCTGCTCTTGATGGGGTCACACCATGTCAAATACCATATACTCAGCAACATCTAAATGAACTGGTTAGTATTTAGTTCTTATAACCAACATTCTGAATTATAGTGTGCATTTTAGCACTGTATTTAATCCAGAAATTTTATTATGTTTAACCTATGTTTTGTTCAGTTTAAGGATTTAACATATTAATATCCTAAACAATAATGTTGGTGAAGTAATTTTACTGCGCTTCACGTTTTTTCTCACAGAGGGGTGTTATTATTAAAGTACCTTATAAAATTGGTAAAGCATAGGATTATCCTAATAGGAAATCAGGAATTTCAAATTATGGAAGAATATTAGATCAGATCTTGCTCATTTAAAAATATAAGATTTGTTTCTTGGAAATTGACTCATTCCTTAGGCTACTAGTGTATTATAGAATAAATAATTCCAAGGTATCTCCTTGGGACCTATTTGTACTTCACACAGTATTCAGTGTTATGAACATAAATTCTGACCAGTATCCTATGAGTAGGGCATGCCTTGCTGTCTTTGTTAGTCTTTCTCATGTAACTGTTTCTATTCATGTTCTCATCAGTCTTATTTTGGGTAAATTGCACCAATAGTACCTTAGTCTGTATCATGTTACAGTTTTGCCTGAAGCTTTGCCTCATCCTTCTCCTCTGGGTTAGACTTGGATAGCCTATCTAATAAAAGGATATTATGCAAATTAATCATCACTCCATCACAAAGATGGTGGTGCCCATAGACAAAAGATGGCAGCGCATAGTCCTCTCAGCCCCTCTGGAGTCTCCCAGTCCCAAGGGGGCGACTGCTGAGAGCAGGCAGCATGAGCTGCCTGGCAGAATGCTTGCTTCGTCACTGTGGTGATGAGGCAAGTGTTCCAAGCTGGGCCATGGATGGGCCTCTGGCCAGGCTGGGGTGCGGAACGCTTGCATAAGAAGAGAAGGAACCGACGAGCTGAGCAGAGTCAAGTGGCCCCCGCATTCCTGGGCAAGGTCAAGTTCAGGTGGCCAGAGGGTGGAGGGGGTGGAGGACAGTGTGATAGGAGGGGCTGGTGGTGGAGGCACGGGGTGAAAGCCAGCTGAGAAAGAGGAAGAAAGCCCTTTATTGGAGTTCCTGAGAACAGGGAGGGAAGTTGTTTGCATTTCCCAGCCACAGAAGGGCCTCTGGCCAGGCTGGGGGCGCAGAATGCTTGCGTTGCTGCGGATGGGCCTCTAGGCCACGGAGAGCCTCTGGGCAGCAGGCACGGAGCGGCCAGGCCCTGTAGAAGGCTACTGGTGCACAGATTTGTGCGCAGGGCTACTAGTTATCAATAATTTTCAAGGGTGCTGGCTTTTAAAGTGACTGTCCCTCTCTGGGCCATTAAGTATGCCCTAGTGTTTGCCTAACACTTGTTTTAGGTTTCTCTTATCCACTCTGTTATGTCTCACTCCCATGGAAGTGTGGCAGGGGCCCAAATAATACCAGAAGATAAACATCTTAACATTCTGGAAATGGGAACCATCTCAGTATTAGTGATTTGTAATTCCTATGACCCTTCTGGAAGAAATGATTGACAGTGGAGTTTTTCTGGGGCAGGAAGAAAAGGCCTAAAAAGAGAGAAAAGTTGTTCATTGTCCTCTCAAATTATCTTAGTACCAGGGCTGATTATCCCTGGGAAACCAGCTACGGGCTTTCTGGTATTAAAGGCCAGTGCCCATTCTCAGCAGTTCTGTCTGCTCTGGTTGCTGTGATGCTGCACAGCTAAAGGTTTTAACTATCGCCTCTTTTAGGATGTAGATATAATTGTCTGTTTCTTACGCATAAATGCTAAGGTAAGTGATAAACCTATTAATGTTAGTAAGGCAATTAATAATGATTTTGATTTCTTTTTTCTGGTGGTTAGCATACTTTTTCTATTTGTCTTAGGAGCAGGACATTATACCTGAAGATTTGCCAGCACCAACAAGCAAATATAAACTAAAATATCAGCAATACAAAACTGAAATGAAAGAGGGATATAAACAGTATTGTCAGAGAAATGCAGAAAAGACAAAATCAAATATCAGATATCAACCATCTCCAAGAAACAAGACAGATGACAAGGTAATATATGAGGATTTATAAAGTTATAATGAAATTTTGAAAAAGAGCACACATATTATAGAAACATCTTCTTGTCTGACGTGTCTTGCTGTTAGTCATAATAAGTGTTCCCTGGTATTTTACTCAGATTAACTAGTTTATTCTTCACAATTATCCTAAAGGGTTATTGCTGCCATTTTCAGATGTGAAAACTCTAGCCATATGACATGACCTCATCATCTTTTCTCAATTGGAAATTTTTCACTTGGCATGGATTGTAAATAAGACAGTATAGCTGTTTTTGATGTAGCTGCCTTGAATTCTGTCTTCCAGTCTAAATATTAAAGTTGAAAAGTGGTTTCAGATTTTATAATGACCCTCTTTTTTTCTAAAACTACCATTACTCCATGATTGTCTTCTGTCTCATTTTGGGAAATGTGTTTTAACATATGAATTTCTAAAATTGTTATGCTTTTATTTAACACTAGAGACCCGGTGCATGAAATTCATGCACGGGGAGGGGGGTCCCTCAGCCCGGCCTACACCATCTTGCAATCCGGGACCCCTAGGACATCCCTCTTGCAATCCGGGACAGCTGGCTCCTAACTACTCGCCTGCCTTCTTGCCTGATAGCCCCTAACCACTCTGCCTGCCTGCTTGATCTCCCCTAGGTGCTTGCCTGCCTGTCTGATTTCCCTTAATCACCTCTGCCTCGGCCCCCGCACCCAGGACCCAGGCTTCCCTCCTCTGGCCGGCTGCAGGCATCTGGGACCTGGGCTTCCCTCCCTCTGGCCGACCACAGTACCCAGGACCCAGGCTTCTCTCCCTCTGGTCGGCCACTGGCATCCGGGACTGCAGGAGGCTTCCCCCGGCCGACCACAGGCACCCATGATCATGGGCATCTTCCCCAGGCCAGCTGTAGGCACCTGGGACCACGGCTTTGTCAGGAAGGATGTCCAGAATGATGTCCAAAAATGTCCGGTCTATCTGGTCTAATTAGCATGTTACCCTTTTATTAGTATAGATTAATTAGGTGGAAATTCAGTAAGAGTAAAACTTAATGAATTTAATGGCTTTCCAGAAGCATACAGGAGAGGTCAATCTTGAATTTTGGAAAGAAAGGTTTGGAAATAGTTTGTGATGCAACTGGACATAAAGAAGAGAACAGTTGTATACAATTCTTAATTCAGTTAACTTATTATAAAAATAATGTATTTTCAGGGAAGTTTGATAGTTATATTTGGTTAGTTGTATTTTTCTATAGGTAAAAAAGATTAATTTATAAGCATGTGTAGCACATCAGTTAGTTTTTCTAATCCACATATGAATTATCTAGAATAACTAAATCACATGCTGTTTAGCTGAAAGCATAACAGCAAAAGTTATGGGGTTACTAGGTGTCCTTTATCTTAAAACAAAATTCCCAGATCCAAAGAATGCACACAAGTATAATAATCTAGTGTCTATAATAAGCAGGATAATTTCACAATTTTTTCACATCTGATGAGAAGCTAGATTCTGCAGAGATTTTGAAGATTGGGCTGAGAAAACTTGCTAATGGATTTCTTGTAGGCTTGAGAGAAAGGAAAGATAAAGATTGGTGCTAAGGCTTTTGTTTTGAACAATTGAAAGGGTGGGGAAGACCACAAGAAAATATGGTTTGAAGAGGTTAAATTTAAGATACCAAGTGGAAATACTACGGTTCCCCCTGTGTAAAGGTTAAAAACAAGCTGAAACAAAACAAAATGCTTTTCAATTTTTCAACTTAAACATAATGTAGAATGTCTGAAAGAAAATCTGACAAAGATATTAGCAGCAAATAAAGGTATAAAATATCCTCATACATTGATTCCCGATAGTTAATACTTGAACAAGATTCATTATTCATTCATTGAATAAATATTCATCAAGTGCTTACTCTGTGTGTTCCTCTTCTGTCACCTGGGAACTGCAACAAAAAGGACAGGCAAGATTCCTGCTCTCATGGAAGTTATAGCAGGAGAGGCAGGCAACGAGTCACAAAGAGATGTATAGTAAGATTTCCTGTAGCAATCACGGCCATGACAACAGAGTAGAGTATGAAGATCTTGAAATCTATTAAGTTTTTCCAGTTGCAATCCTACTGGAACACTTTTGTTCTTGTTAAGGAAATATAGCACATCTTATATTCAGAGAAATAGTTAGTGTTTATCTCTTTAGGACCCCAAAGGATTTTTTCCTTAAAGGATACACCCCTCTCGTTTTAGTACTTTACCTCCAAATTTAATTTTTATAAGG